CTATTATTAGCACCATTTTACGGTTGAGAAAACTGAGGTTAAGTGACTTGCTCAAGGTCACACAGCATATAAGTGTCTGAGGCAGGATTTGAATTCAGGTTTTCCTCACTGCAGGCCCAGCTCTCTATCCATTGAATGAACCACGTAGTTGCCATAAGATAGGAAGTATCAGAGTTTTGATTAGAACTCATCATCTGACTCCAAATTTAGAGCTCTTTTAATTATTCTTTTTATTTTATTTCCTTCTGAGCTTATGAAAGCATTTGTTTGCTTTTCCAGCATTCTCTGTTTTGTTTTCCAATCTCTAAGAGCACCTGTCAACTTTCTTCATAGAGGTAGCGGCTGAAAAAATAGCTACCAAGACTGTTTTAAATTAATCATTATTAGGTGGTCACTTTCAAATCGCTACCATTTTTTAATGGCTACCAACTTACCGTTTATAATTTCTCCTTTTCTATCAGCTTTCATTACCTTGGGCTGCTGAATTAATTTACATACTATTGTATATATTAATTGTTATCCTGAGGTAGCTAGCTAGCTAGCTTCCTTTACAAAAAAACCCTAGCAACAGCGCACAAAGACTTTAGAAATAGATATCTCAAGAAGTTATTTTCTCAAAAAATGACAATCCTGGCACATAACAGAATGTTGTGAATAAAATTTAATTTAGATTTTTAAACATGAATAAAATGGTTTTATGTTAGAGCCTGCAATAATGCACCTCTGCCTCGGATACAGCAATCAGACAACTTCATGAAGCTCCAAAAAATGACTATGTTCCCTGTGACTATTAGATGGGGGAGAAAGAGATGAAGAGAGAGAGAGAGAGAGAGAGAGAGAGAGAGAGAGAGAGAGAGAGAGAGAGTCAGTCCCAGATTCGACTAGCTTCCAGGCTTTGTCTGATGTGATAGAGGTACTCGAAGTGGAGCTGTTTGGATGTTGCCTTCATCAAAGTAAATTACTGGCAACCTGTTCACCTTCTGTATTTTGTGATTCTTATCTATGTTTTACTGTCAATCCTGTAGAGACTATACCAACTGTTCTAGAGGCCTCATTTTGTTTTGATTTAATATTTTAGGGGTACTCACGACCACTTGGACTGCTCATCAGTCCTCTTGGTTTTTCTATGAATACACATTTTCTCTGATTATCCATGTTTGCAATTCTCTCTTTTAAAACACTTTGTTTATAAACATGCCATGCTATGTGCTATGTGATACATTGATGCTCACCATGGGTCTTTCCATCACCCTCTATGCTATTTGTAACTATAATTCTTCCAAGACAGTAGGGTTTCATGAGCCACAGTCATATAACTTCATGAAGGAGAACACTGCTGTTAAAGAGACGGGCTTGTGTAGCAATGAGAAGTTTGGGATCATTGAAAACACTGCAGTTTCCCAATCTCCTCTTACTCGATTTTGGCCGTAGTTCATAGTCCATCTGTAGAGCCTTCCAAGTTATGCATTTAGGTGGATTAATTCAAAAAGTGTTTTGTTCAGTTGCAGGCCATTTTATTCAGTTGCATGCATTGCCCATGTCTGGGCAATACTTATTTTTCATCCACTTTGTTTTTCCAGTGTGTATGGTGAGCAAATTCTTTAACACTGTTGTAGAAGTCACTGAGTGATTTTTTTTTTTTTAATGTTTGGACACTCTGTATAATTAATAAAGTCCACTTGTGAATAGGAGCATTTGAAGAATTTTACCTCTTTGAATGCTTCTTTTATTTAAAATCTTCATAGGACATTTTTCTTGACACTAGCTATTATCTTAGGCTAGCTTATGCATCTCTATTTTTCTCACTTTTTAAAATAATGCTAAATTTTGTATAACATTGTAAAGAGAAAAACACGGAATGATAAAATATGTTCTGATAAAGGAATTTTGGAATTTATGAACATCAAAGTGAAACACTTTTTGGTGATGAGTATAACCATTTTTACGTTTAGTTAGGATGCAGTGAGGGAGTAGGTCATGGAAATTGAGCAGATTGAAGAACTGGAAAGTTATGGTATTTAAGGAAATCTCAGTCTCAATCTCTCTCTCTCTCTCTCTCTCTCACACACACACACACATCCCTTAATATGTGAACAGGAATTATGGTGCAAAGAAATACTGTGACCATGAATTGAACCCATTGAGAAAGAAAGGAGACTTCTGTGGGGACTGCTCACATATCCTATAAGCAATGGGAAATGAAATTCCTTAAACCAGCACATAAGTTACTCCATAATTTGGCTCCCATGTGCTTTCCAGCCTTATTTCAGTTCTTCCTTCATGAACTCTGTCTTCTAGTCAAACTAGATTACTAATTGTTCTCTGAACTCATTCCACCTCCTTTCTCCATATATTTATGCAGTGTTCCTAACACCTGGCTGGCATTTTCCCCTCATCTTTGCCATTCAACATCCTTCTCTTCCTTCAAGGGTCAGATCAGGTGCTACCTTCTATAGGAACCCTTCCCTCATCTCTTCCACTGTTAGTATTGTGTTAGTGTCTTTGCATCCCCAGGGCCTAAAACAATGCTTTATTAAGCATTTATTAAATGTTTCTAGGATCAAATTGTATTGGAATTGAACTGTGAATTGCCTTTGACAACTGTGGTTCTCCATTTTTTTTTTAAACCATCTTCTCACTGTATTAGTTCAACTTCTCTGGGAAATAGTGATAATGAATTTCCTTATATTCATTCAGTCCCCATTTTCCAGGGTTGACATCTTATTAAACAGGTGAAGCTGGAACTGCTGTAATCATATACAGGAATACTTATATATTTATCTTTTTTTTTTCTAATTCAGTGTATATGCTGACTTTTGCTTTTACCATTTGATGACTGGTCTGCACACAGGATTTTTTTGAAATAACTCCTCTATCTCTAACCATTTTCTTTCTCTTAAATTTTATAGTAAGCCTATTTTTTTTTTTTTTAATAATGCCATTCAGCACTCGACACATTCAGGGCTAACTGTGTCTCTTCTTGAATTATGTAGTCATGATATATAGGTATGAAGCTCCTGAGTAGTTAATATGCCAGTTTTTTCACTCCATGATCCCCAAATCAAAGTTTTGAAACTACCCCTCATCCCTCCCCCTTTTTTTTTACTGCCCTCCCCTTTCGTAATGAAATCCCTAAGTATCAAGGAAATGTTACTTTTGTTAGGAATATTTCATCAAATTTTTCACAGTATTTTTCAACTTACTCATCCTCTGCAACAAATATTAGCATATATAAGTTGAAGTTATCTTCACAGTATTCTGTTTGTTTTTATTTGTTGTGAGCGCTGTAACATGAGATGATTAAGTATACCATGACACGTTTTTCATTGCTTTTGGGCAGAGGGTGAAATTACCATCTACCATCTAACCATCCTTTGTGCGTGCTGGCTTCATTCACAGCAAATATCAATTATCGGTCTGTACAAAAAGCATTACCAGCTTAATTAGAAGATTAAGGAACTAACATAGGGCAGCTAGAGGGCTCAACGGATAGAGTGCTGGACCTGGAGTCAGACAGACTCATCTTTATGAGTTAAAATCTGGCCTCAGACATTTACTAGCTGTGTGACCCTGGGCAAGTCACCTAACCCCACTTGCTTCAGTTTTCTCATCTATAAAATAAGCTGAAAAAGGAAATGACAAACAATTCCAGTATCTTTGCCAAGAAAACCCCAAATGAAGTCATGAAAAATCAGACGTGAATGAAAAATGACTGAATAAAGAAAGTAGCCCTTGTCAAATTTCCAGTTTTTATGATAACCTGTTGATTGTAATTCAAAATTTAGAATTTGACTTGGATATCCTTTTCATCAGTTTCAAAGGAGCCAACTTTTCCATCCACCACTATATAATTGCTGACTTTATATCTACTGTTCATCATAGTGGGCTGAAGATTTCATCCACTCCATCAAATAGCACCTTTGGACAATTCATTCGTTGTTTGTCTTTTGTTCTTGAATAGGACCAAGGACATCAGGAGGGTGATGTCTTGACTTGCAAGTGAATTGGATTTAAGTGAGGCAGAGCTGTACAAAGTCACCAGCCTCACTCTCTCCCCCAGAGTCACTGGGGTCCAGTGGCAAGACACAGATCACGACAACTGGCAATGGCTGAGAAGTCTCTTAGGTTCTAGATCAAATTCTAATGAGTAATTGCTATTAATTGTTACTAAGGCTCTTAGAGATGAGACGTTTCTTGATAGCTACATGTTTGAAAAGTGCTATGAGATCTGCAGGTGGAATTTGAAGTTCACAAGATCCAAAATTTGAAGACTTTTCCTGGCAAACTAATTATCTAGACAAGGAAGGGATTTTTTCCCCTTCCATTATTGTTACTGTAAGGGCGAAAATTCCAAAAAACAGTTGACCACCTTCCAAAGGCCATTTGGGCACAAGCTGAATTGGCACCAATATCCATCATGATAACAATAATTAACGCTTTAAGGTTTGCAAAATGCTTTACATGTGTTATCTCATTTTATCCTCACAACACTGAAGCAGTACTATTTTCTCTTTTTTACAGTTGAGAAAAATGAGGGTCATTGAGGTTAAGAGACTTAACAGCAGTCTTATAACTAGTGAGTACATTGAGGAAGAATGTGTACCCAGGCCTTCCTGGCTCCAAGTTCAGAGCTCTATCCATTATATAACTCTGTCTCTGATGATGCACCTGAATTGGTCTGCTGATGGCGGCTAGGTTCAAGATGAGGAAGTGGGTCAAGGAACGTACAGGGATATGGGACAAATGAGACGGATACACAAACAAATGGACGATTTAAATATAGTATGCCTTTAAAAAGAAAAGCAAGGAACATAAAGAGGAAAGCATGCCATTGTCTACTTAAAGGATGAAGCCATCGAATCTGTATCTTCTGAATTCAGGTAAAAAAGGATAATAGGTAATTCAAGTTGCTGCAGTCTTTTCCTCTGTTCTTGGGGACCTCTTTGGAAAGTATATTCCTTCATAAATCAGTCATAGACAAGAATGTTCAAGACACAATACAGAGAAATCAGCAATATTTTTTGTTTGTTTGTTTTTAATACAGATGTGGTACAGAATGTTTAATTACAGCAGGGCAGTGATTCCAGTTAAATAAAATTAAAAACCTTTATTCTCCCAAATATAAAATTACTAAATTAAGGTCTTAAAAGAACAACAATATGGTAAAAGCTTTAAATTATGCCACCATTGACCACAGGATTTATGATTACCAATTCCTAAACCATCATTTTGGCAAAAAGGTGAATTTTTTTAAACAGTGTATAAACCTAACAGAGCAAAGACTGTATACATCTTCATATTGCACTTATTTATGTACAAGAATAAAACTGTCAAGTCAAATATAGAGCCTATACGAAGAATACCACAAATCAGTTACAATTAAACTTAATGCAGAAGCTGGTATGAGTATTAAAAAAAAGTATAGAAATGCCATTCATGTATATACAGAATGTCGATTCTGTATTAACAAACTCTATGTACATGTCAATTTTTGTACTGCTTTTCAAATTGTAGCATAACTGTATTTATTAATACAGACATTTGGTTCTAAACAGCATGACCAGTTTTAAGCTCACATACTTTGTAAATACCAGTAAGTATAAAATAGGACTTTTTCTTTCTTGTTCACTGGTACAAAAACTATAATTATCAGTTCCCTTAGATCATCAAAAACTAATGTCTATTTAGGCACAAAAATAGTTCTTATCCTTGTACTCAAGCTGAATGTGCCATGGGAGAAAAATAGATAATACCTAAATATTTTCAACATTCACAAGCCTAGCCCGGAAGCATAAGGCCAACCCAACCCTAAACAGTGTTATTCTCACTGCTATATACATTCACCAACACTTCTTTAAATGTGCCATTTATTTTAATACTACTGCATAAGGAATAAGGAATATTTGCTCTAGCTGCAGAGTTTCCAACACACACCTCTGCTGAGACATAATGACATAACAACAACGTATGTAGTGCCAGTGGAATTGAAAAAAAAAATGTGCATCCCTTTATTACTTCTATAGCAAGTTAACTATGAAACAACAGTTTATTTCCCACTTTTCTCATGCTCATTGTCTTGTCTGTGTTCTTGATCTGAAGTCCTCCTGAGTCTGTAAATGACAAAACAAAACCTGATGTCTGATGAGGAACAATCATGCAAGTGAAGACGAACTAGGCATCCCATGAACAGTTGTGCTTGTTGGCGTCCCACTGATGGCGTTGAAAATGTGAAGTGAATTAGGTAAGACGTTTGCCTTCTCTTCCATGGGACAAATCTCAAAAAAAAAAAAAAAGCAGATTAAAAAAGAAAAAAGAGGAGGGGGAGGAGGAGGAGGAGGAGAAGAAGGCAATATTAGAAAACTGAGTTCTATCAGCCAAGAACAAATACTCCTCAAGATAAACTATTTCCAGAAACACGGACTAATTTTCTAGTTATTGGGGATAATGGTGTGGTCCGGCACCTGGCTCTGATAATTTACAAAGTCAAATTTTTCATCTCGCATAGTAAGTTAGTCAATAAGCATTTATTAAGCATCTACTATGTGCTGGGCAATGTACTAAACTTGGGATACAAAAGAAGGACCATCATCAGATCAACATTTTCCTAAAAGTTAAAGGCTTAAATACCCTTTTTCTTTTCCTTTATATGTTATTAGAAGTTTTTCTCTAAAACAGGGGCATTCAACCTAGAGTCCACAAACTTGCTTTATTTTTAAAATATATTTTGATAACTGTATTTCAATATATTTTTTCCACGTATTTTATTTTGGACATTTAAAAACATTATTTTGAGAAGGGGTCCATTGGCTTCAGCCCGCCAGAAAAGTTAGGAACTCCACTTTCAGAACAAGAAGAGATCTTAGAGATAATTGAGCTCAAAGTCCTCTGATGAGGAAACTTGGGCCCTACTTGAGTGCTAGATACTGAAGACAAGGAATACATATTATATATCTTTGTATTATACAGTGCCTACAATTGTCTTACAGTTTCTTACAATTCAATTCAATTTATTTATTTTAAGACTATTTTATTTTATTAAATATTTCCCAATTACATGTTAAAAAAACATTTTAACACTCATTTTTAAAAAATATGAGTTCCAAATTCATTTTTTCCCCACCCCTCCCCCCCTCTTTGAGAAGGCAAACAATTTCATATCAATTACACATGTAAAGTCATGCAAAATATATTTCCATGTTAGCTAGGTTGCAAAAGAGAACACAAACAAAATAAATAATTAAAAATAATCAAAGTGAAAAAATATGCTTTCACTCTGCATTTAGAGTTTATCAGTTCTCTCTCTGGAGATGGATAGCATCTTTCAAAAGGAGTCCTTTGGAATCTTACAATTCAATTTAAACATTTATTTAGTTTCTACTTTGCATTTGGGATATAAAGATAAATGTGAAAAAATAGTCCCCATCTTGAAGAAGTTCATATTTAACTTCAGTGTACACATATATAGAGACAAACAGTATGAGATAACTTGAGGGAGAGAATGCAAACAACCACTTATGTATGGGGAAGATCAAGAGAAATACTGTATTGCAGGTGGCATCTTAGCTGATTCTTGAAGTAAACTAGAGATACTAAGAGAGGAGAGTGTACGTTCCAGGAAGGAGAGATTACTGGGCAAAGGAAAGGAGAGGGGAAACAGAATCTTATGTTCAGGGACAACTTAGTCTGCCAGGTTGGCTGAAAAATAGAGTGTATGAGTTAGTTAGTCAATCCATCGATTAACAAGTATTTATTGAGCATTAAGCACTCAGTAAGTGCCAGCCACAAGAGTAGGTGGTAGGGTTATAAAGATAAGAACGAAACAGACCCTGCCCTCAAGGGGTTAACATTCTACTAGGGAGTAGGGGAGGATTTTGAGGAGGTGAGTGACATGGTCATACCTATGTCTTAGAAATACTAATTTGGCAGCTGTGTGGGAAATGGATTGAAGATGGAAGACTGGCCTACCATTGCAATAGTCTATGCAGGACATGGTAAGGGTTTGAATCAGGGCAGTGGTCATATGAATGAAGATAAGGGTGAGCATATACATATATGTGTATGTGTATATGTATATTTATATAGAGAGAGAGGGAAAGAGAGAAAGAGAAAGAGACAGAGAGAGGAAGAGGAAGGGAGGGAGGGAGAGAAAGAAAGAGAGACGGACAGACAGAGAAGGTGGGGGAGAGAGAAGGTGGCGTAAAGGATCATAAGATTACAGAATCAGATCAGATCATAGGTTCAGAGCTGGAAAGGTGCTTAGAGGTCATCTGGCCCAAAGAATCACTTGCCTAAGGTTACACAGACAGGTGTCAGAACTGGGTCTGAAACCAGGTCTTTGACTCCAAATTAAGTAATCCTTCTACTGTATCATACTGTCTCCCAATGCTGAGTGAAGGTACTCAGTGAACTTGTGCCCTGGGATTTGGCACAGCTTTATCCTGGCTCCCAGAGCAAAAGGTGCATGTGGGGAGCTAAATACAAGTCTACCCCAATAATGTTTTCCTTCTGGTTTCATGGCTTGAAGTGGCTCAATCTTTATATTTTGCAGGGAGTCTCAGAAGATTAAGCTAAAACAAAGTTGATACTCTTCATGACAAAGCACCATATTAATCATGCCATATTCTCCTGGATTCTATCTTACTACATTAGGTTCTATGATTTTTTATTTTATCTATCTATTTATTTATTTATTCATTTATTTTTTGGTTTGTCTTCCTCATACCCAAATTTCCCTCCATTTAAGCTTTCATTTCTATTATTGCTCTAGGACTCTAGTGTGAACCCTGGATGGCTATACAGAAGAGCTCCCTTGAAACTCTGGAAAGCCATACCTAAAATAATCTGGAAAGCAATACTCTAAAATGCCTAGAGAAAGGTTTATTTCCTTCCTAAATGAATTTATCAATATCAATATGGCACTCAGTATTTTAATACGATTTAGTCAATCAAAGTTTAGCAACAAAAAAGCAAAACCAAACAACGTTACCATCCCAGCTGATCACGTTTGCATGGGGGAGAAAAGAGGTGAGAGAATTAAAGTTTGAGAATTTCAATTTATAAAAATTTGTAAATAAAGTCATCCCGTGACAGATGACAACTTTGTACACAAAAGATATCAGCTTACATTCTGAAGATATTGTTGTTACATTAGTTAATAATTAATTATAAGTTAATACAGGAAATATATGTGAAATGCATCACATGCTAAATGATGCTGACATTAATTATGATGCAAATAAGAAATAAATTTGTAAGATGGTCATCCATATTAGTTTTAAACTAATACAAACTTAAAAATCTACATATCCACAGAACATAAAAAAAGTGAATGATAATTGCATATTATACTTATTTAATCCAAATTAGTCAGTGTTTTAAATTCTGGAGAACTGATGAATAAAAGTGCTTATAAGGAAGGCACGCGTTAAGTATTTTAGGTCAAATTTATAGTGGCAAAATGACTTAAAAGAATTCCCATAGGAGGGATGGAGGCTAATGAGGAAGGCACCTTCTAGAGACTGAAAACCTGGGCACTGCTTTCCCAGGTCTACTTTATACTACAACCAATGGGCAATTTGACCGTGATCTCACTTAGCAAGGAGGGCCTTCAAAAAGAGTTATGTTCTTTGGTGACAGGAGAGCAAAAATATGAAATCCTTCTATCCTTTAGAAGGAAAAGCACCAGACAAAATGTGGGAAGTCTAGGCAAGCCTGGTGTGGACCCAGAAGCAGAAGTCATTGATTCATCCTGAAGATCACTTCCCTGGATCTTCCACAATTAGGATTTGACACTTACCTGTTCGTGCATGATTTCCGAAAGCTCTTTTGCCATTTCCCGATAGTTAGCCTTCATTTCTTCCTGATATTCTATTTGGTCTTCCTTAATAAGACGTTCGTTTACTGCTAGAGCTTGACCACAAGCTTCAACAAATTGCCTGAAATTGGGAAGGAGATGGTTTTAGAAGCAGACAGGGAGGTCAGATGCATACTTTTCTTTCACCGTCAATATCTGACCCTGCATGGCTTTCTAGTAATGCAGTGATATTTTGCAAGAGAAGCAAGTTCTAAGTACCACTGAGTATTACGGAAGAAAAACATTAGAATTAGAATTTGAAAAGCATTAGAGTTCAGATAAATTCAGATAATAATCAGTAATAATCGATCTTGAGTCTACAGGACTAATAACATCCATCACGTTAAGGTCTGCCAAGTACTTGAAAAAATATTATCTCATTTTATCCTACAAAAACCCTCTGAGGAAGGTGCTATTATTATCCCCATTAGAGGCTGAGGAATTTTAAGTGGCTTGGCCCAGGGTGACAGAGCTATGAATTGTCTGAGCTGGTATTTGAATTAAGACCTTCCTGAATCAGGAGGTTGTCCTTCAGTAGTTTTTCAGTCGTGTCCTACTCTTCGTGACCCCATTTGGGATGGTCTTGGCAAAGATACTGGAGTGGTTGGCCATTTCCTTCCCCAGTACATTTTGTTGTTGTCATATAGCCACGTCCTGTTCTTCATGACCCCATGGACCATATCATGTCAATACTGGCCATGGTATTTTCTTGGCAAGGACACTGGAATGGTGTGCCATTTCCTTCTCCAGAGACAAACAGAGATTAGTTGACTTACCCAGGGTCACACATATAATAAGTGTCAAGGCAGGATTTGAACTCAGGTCTTCTTGACTCCAGGTCCAGTGCTCTAACCACTGAACCATCCAGCTGCCTGAGTTCAAATCTGTACTCAAGACACTTACTAACTGTGTGACCCTAGACAAGTGACTTAACATCCTGCAGCCTCAGTTTTCTCAATTGCAAAATGAGGAAAAAAAATACCAATTATCTTGTAAGGTTGTTACAAGGAACAAACAAGATAATATCTGTAAAGCACTTAGCATAATGCCTAGCACAAAGTAGGCACTCTATAAATGCTTATTCCTTTCCATTTCCCTTCTTGACTCCAGATCCAAGACCCAATCCATTATACCGCCTTTCTGCTACGGCTGGTAGAAAGGTTGTAAACTACAGGCACGGAATGGTGCATATCTGTGAGACAGGGGCTGTGTTGGTTGGTTTTGCTTAACTGTTTTTTCTTGTTATAAAAACAAAAAACAAAATCAATACAATCTTTCTTTAAACCTGAAAATTTTGTGATTTTACCTGAAAACTTCCTTCAAGAGCTTTACTTTATTGTCAGCATATCTTTTGGTACTTGAGTCATCTAAGAAAGCTCGGGCATATGCGAGAGGGCCAGCATTAACCTACGTAAAAAGAACAGTGCATTCTAAATTAATAAGACAAATTACTGTGAGAACTTATCATTTTCCCCATGACACCATTCAAAGTGCTACACAAATAATTCAGATTTCATGTCAAGCTTCTAACTGCAGAGAGACATTTCTCAGAAGCTCACCCAGTGTAGTAATTTGTAAAGTATTATATATGTGAGCTATCATCATTTTAAGATATAGTATCAGAGTAATTTGGAGTGAAGGGTCAAGAAGATACCGTAAACTGCTGTGTGCTGGAAAACAGCAATCTCGCGAAGCACTTCAGTGAAATGTTGGCATCAGCTTAAGAGATCAACGGGCAAAATCTATTTTCTGTGTTCCCAGCCTAGCCATTATTTTGGTAGACTCAGCAGAAAACTGATTTCACCATTTTCATCACTTAATCCTTCCTTCTCGAGTCAAGCTAAGCATTTCAGGAAGCTTTCAAGTAAATGTAGAAGCACTTCATACTTTCCCTGTATCTTTTGCCCTTAAGATAATTCCTCAGCTGGACAGCAGTAATTCTGTTACAGATGCCCATACTGCATGACTGACCTTCCTTCTGTTCCCTATCTGCTTCTAGGCTATAATTACAATAATCAGTATAGTTCCTGTTATCACTGGCTTTGTTTTTCACCAGATAAAAAAACCTGGCCAGATGCCATAATCACAGAATCATACATATGGCTGGAATATTTGTCATAGTTAATTGCTAACTTGTTTTGACATATAAATTTTTCGTATTCCTAGGAGAAATTGAAACGGCTTTTCTGGAAAGTGAAGATTCTTTTTTTGTCTGTTAAACAATGACACATGATTGTTTTTTGAACCTAGCAGGAATCTAAAGTTAAAGAAAATTGTGATTGGTTTAGAGATAAAGGGAAGAAGTAAGCACTGTAACCAAACAGATAATAAGAAAAAAGGGGAAGGATATGAAAAAGATAATGGCAGTGAGGCCCTGGGTTTTATGCATTTGGTCATATCAAAACACAAATTTTTGCCTCTTTTTGTATCCCCAGGCATTGTGAAGAGGGGATTGCTTGTGAGGAAAGAAAATGAATTCAATCCTAAACATATTAAATAGTAACAGAGTTCAAAATGTTCAACAGGCATCTGGGGATGAGAAACTGGAGGTGAGGAGAGAGGTTATATAGGCAGATTTGAGAGTTATCAGCACAGATTAAGAGCTGAATCCATGGGAGCTGAGGAGATTACCAAATGAAATAGTATAGAGAGAGAAGAGAAGGTGCCCCTACAGCATGCCTGATCTGGATGAAGATCCAGAAAAGGAGACTGAGAGGGAGTGGTCTGACAAGCAGGAGAAGAACTGGGAGAGAATACATCACAAAAAGCCAGAGAAGAAAGTATCAGGAAGGTGTCCTTTAGTGTTAAAGGCTCCAGAAAAGTCAAGAAGGCTAAGGATTGAGAAAAGGCGATTAGAGTAGCAGTTTTAGTTGAATGATGAGGTCAGAAATTAGAATGCAGTGAGTTAAAAAAAGAGAGTGAGAGGCACCAATGACTAAGTGGCTTTCTCAAAGAATTTAGCCACAAAGAAGAACAGGGGTAAGAGATGCTATCAAGGCAGGAAGGTAAGACAGGAAGACAAAACTGACTGATCACCCAGTGAGGAAGAGAAATGACTGGTGGATAGCCTGAGTGTTTCTTGAGAGTAGGGATTGTTTCATTCTTCGGATTTGTATCTCTAGTGGCTGGCACAGTGAATAGCACATAGTAGGCACTTATATATACTTTTTTGACAGACTGATCCTCCTGGTGTCAGAAGAAAGTGAGGAAGGTCTCCAAGACCTCGTGGAGACCTTTTGTGTAAAACTTATGTACAGTGGACAGAATACGGACAAGTCTCCAAACATGGCAGGCATAGATGAGTTGGAAACTACATTGCTCAAAGGGCTTCGAAGTGAATGAGATCATAGATGCATTTGAGAGAGAGAACTCTCCTACTGATAGAGCTGAGTGTGATGCTATGGGTGTTGAATGCTGCATATGCTGTCAGATATGGTTGCTATATTAATTGGTTTTTACTGAACCATTTTTTCCTGGCTACAAGGAAGGATTCTATGACAGGGGACTGGTGTACTGGGAAGTGACGGTGTCATCACTGGAACTTTTAAGAACAGTCATTATACCTTTGTAAGTGACTTCCTTGCTTTCCTCCCTAACAAGAACAAGTTTACTACATTGCGTTTAGATTAGAGCCTTGATTCTTTTAGTTAAATGGGATCCAGGATCCCTTCCTCATAAAATAAATAAAAACCACACAGAGTAGAGCAGTTCATTTGTGTATGCCTATACCACTGTGGGACCACCAGGACTTTCAATCTGACCTGCAGGTGAGTTCCTTGAGAAAAGGGGCTGGTCTTTCTTTTTTCTATTTGAATTCCCAATGCCTAGTAGGATGCTTCAAACATAGTAAGGACTTAATAAATGCTTTTCCTTCACTCATTTCATATATACATTATTTTCTTAGGACAGGATTTAAATTGGGAATTCTCCAAAGCTGGCAGCCCATCTACCTTCCCCAGCTGACCCCAAGGTTCTGTGCTGTCCTCTTCCCTGTGTGTGTGTGTGTGTGTGTGTGTGTGTGTGTGTGTCCCCTCTTCACACACATGAGCATGCACATGCATCTGTATACATACTGGTGTGTACTTGAATGGATATATGTGGTATTTTTTTTCTTGCAAAGATTAAGAGAAAGCACCTTCTCTTTCCTTTCATTGCAGACATTTAAAATAAGGCAAGCTGTACTCTCACCTGAACGCTGACACTGCCCTGTAGCTTTAACTGAAGTTTGATCATGTCTACTTCGGTGGAGGCACACAACTGCCTGAGCTCAGCCACCTTCTTACTCATCTCATCAATGGCCACTTCAATGGGATTCAGATCCGTATGATGCTGGTACATCACAGGAATGCGCTTCTTCACATAAGGGAAACAGTGGATTGCTGATGGAAGAGAAACAGATCACACAGAGTTACCGAGTTTTCCTGACTTTACCAAAACACATCCACTATCTTTATAATACAAGGTTGTCCCAAAAGTCTTAGTGCAGTTTAGAGCTTTAACAGCTTTCAAAAGTACGGGTTCTAATCCCTTTTCCTCACTCCCAATAACTCTACCACTAAATTACTGTAACTAGGCAAAGTCACTGCCTTTCTTTGCTTTCTTTATCTGTAAAATGGGAATAATACCATCTGAATCACCTAACTCATAGGGTTGATGTGGACTAAGTAGCCTTTACACTCAACTATTCCCTTTTTGCGTTTTCATCAGAAATTACCTTTAACTCATGCAAAGATTATTCTCAAGAAAATTTTAGACATGGAGAAGAAAACACATGGTTTAGTAGTTACTGACTTTTTTTGGTCACCATTTCATTTTTGTTACTGCTATTAATACTATTCACAATTTTTTTTCTATCCTTTGGAATCTTCACTTCTTTTAAATATCTTGAATATCTGTGAATGTCTTTAAAATTGCATTCTAGGACAGAAATCAGCTGCTATCCCCACATTCATTTGCAAATGCGGCAGTTCTTATATCATCAATGAGAAGAGATCCCAGTAGAAACGCTGATAGATCTATTCTGTTTTGTTCCCTTTTCAGTCTCATCTCTTAGCAGGATCTCGCTTTGTTCTGTCTTATTCCATGCTTTCTATGGGTTCGTCTTTCCCTCCACCAAAAAATTCTGCTTTGTCAGGTGATTTCTTTTATAATCTTCCATCTTAGGAAGTCTCTATACTTGACCAAAAAACCCCCAAAACCCAATGTCCTCAGCTGAGGAGATTTGGGATTCTTCTGGCCACCCCAATGTTGGGATTATTTTATGTAAATTAAGCTTCTCTAAGAAAGAACACTGAGTCAGTGTCTTTGACAATGACCAATGAAGAAGACAAAAATACAAAATGGTTTTATGGTATCTTGTAACTGGAGGAAGCTAGGTGGCATGGTAGGTTAAGACCACACTAGATTTGGAATAAGAAAGAGCTGAATTCAAATCCTGCCTCAGACCCTAACACAATGTTGTTGCAGGGATCAAATGAAATAGCATGTACAACACACAGACAAGGATCACATAGCCTTCCGTATAACAACTCAATTTATTAAGTAGCTATGTGTTAGGTGAGAAAAGATGAGGGATGGTACAAAAAATATAAAATAATTGGAGATGGGGCATGGAATGTTATGTACCGTTGACAGAAAATAGGCTTGGAACATAGCATGTGTATAAGGAGGAGATCCATGATTGTAAGCTTGTAGTGACAAGCATAGCATGGGTATTTAATTAATATTAAAAGGACTGCGTGAAGAGCGAGGTCAAGCCTGGCACAGTGAAGTATTCTCCTCCTTCCCCCAACAGAGAAGGCTAAAACACAAGTCAGACAGCAGTATATTGGGAACTGTATCACCTAGTTTCTCTTTGTAGACTTGCACCCCTTCTATAACGCAACACACATTTTTTTTTCTCATATACTCTGTTTTGAAGGAAAAAATTCCTCCTTTTGCTGTCCCATTAGTGCAGGCTGAAAGATATGGACAGCCATTACTTCTGATCCCCCTCTTGGATGACTATAGGGTATTTCTGTTATAATAGAACAAACTACAGTCCTTCACATAATGTTCCCCATGCCAAAATCCATGAATGATGCATTTTAATGGAAGAATCAAAAATTCTGACTTTGACTCATTAGTGAACTGTTTCCTTGTAGAATGAAAAATAAAAATGCTTGAGCAGCTATAGTAGCTGCAGCTGTAGCTGAAAAATGCTGTTAGTTGATAATTTCCATGGAGACCTCCCCTCCCCCAAGACCTTTCCCAATGTAGTAATTCTGCTTAACAAAGATTTCCTGGCAAGGCATGCATTTCTGTGGTTGCTATAGTAACGTGGAAGAAAGGAAGAGTCTATTTACATATAGAATTAGATACTCTAATTATGGAAAAAAAATTTTAAAGCAAAAGAAATTTCTCATTATTTCAATGAGGGTGGGGGAGGTCATTATTATCGTAAAAGGAATGGGACATTTCTTGAAATAGGCTATTCTGATATGGTTATTTAACATCAGGTACAAACACCAAGTCTGAGAAGATGGGTTATTTTATAATAAGCCTGGCACCCTTCTTCCTAAATCCCCACAAAAGACTATGTTAGAATTATGCTTAAAATCTAAATGGTGTCCCTCGGAGCTGTGGTGTTACAAATTACTCTAGTTAAATTAAGGAGGGCTGTCTCCAGTCATCCTGATCTTCATCTGGCCACTGGACCCAGATGGCTCCAGAGGACAAAGTGAGGCTGGTGACTTTGCAGAGCCCTCCCTCACTTAAATCCAATTCACTTGCATGTCATGGCATCAATTCCCTGAAGTCCCGGTCCTCTGAAGGACAAACAACAACAGTTAAATTAACAATGATAACAAGAGCTGATGTTTATCTAGTGTTTTAAGGCCTGTAAAGCACCTTGCATACCTTTGATTCTCACAATAAACAAGTTGTAAGTACTAAGGTTATTTGTGCTATATACCCCTACAAGACTGTAAGTCTCATGAGGGCCAGGACTGTTTCTAACTTACACTTGGGATCTTGTCCAGTGTCTAGCAGAGTGCTCCTGCATACAAAAGGTGCTCAATAAATGCTTTTTTAAAAAAAAATAAATGTTAATAATGATAATAATAACCATCATTTCTATAGTACTTTAAGGTTTATAGAATGCTTTCCTCACAAAAACCTTGTGAGATAGGTAGTGTATTATCAGTTCCATTTTAGAACTAAGGAAACTTAGGCTCAGGGAAATTAAGTTACTTGTTCCTGATCATACCACTAGTAAGGCTCTGAGGCAGAATCTGAATCCAGGTCTCCTGACTCTGAGTTCAGTGCTCTACATGCTATACTAGTTTATAATATAATACAGAGCGAGTGAAGGTAGATGAGTTTGGTTACATTTCTGATTCTACCCTGTTGTCTAAGACCCTGTCCTGATGTCAACTGCTCTCCTTTTTATACCATTTTAGCTCTACACACATTTAGAGACAGAATGTAACTTCCCCACCTGGAATGGCTTGCCTCCTCTACACTTGACCTGGAAAGTCTATGCCTCCCTCCTTGGCCAGATGCAAACTCAGAGACACCTTTCCATCTGCCTTCTTGTGGTCCCCTTCTCTCCCTACCTAGAACCTCTGGACCAACCCTAGTGACCATATGAATCAATGCACTCAACTCTGGAACTCTGCCTCAGGTCTAAGCTGTCTTGAGTGGGAAGTAGGAGAGTGTAAACTCACCTGTATCCACTATTTTTAGCTATCCTCAGACTATGCTTCATATAATCAAAACAAAATAAGCATTTTTATCTGCCTATTATGAGCAAGGCACCATGTTAAGGGCTTCATATTGGATCCTCACAACAACCCTGGGAGGTAGGTGCTATTATTATCCTCATTTTACAGTTGAGGAAACTGAGGCAAATAGCTATAAAGTGACATGCCCAGGGTCACACAGCTAGGAAGTATCTAAAGCTAGATTTGAATTCATGGCTTCCTAACTCCAGGCTTGGTACCCTATGCATATCTAAGTACCACTTAGCTGCTCCTAGTTTCCTCACCACCACATGTCTCCCAGCTTCCAACGAAGCAAGAGTAATCAAATCAATATTATCACTGCATACAGCAAGGACACAGTAATCTACTACATGCTGATTTTACTCACCATTTATGTGATTCCCCAGACCAAAAAAAATCCCTTCCCTTACTACCACCTCTCCATATGTGCCATTTTCTCCTATTAGAATGTAAGCTCAAGGACAAAGACTGTTTACTTTATTTGTATTATTTGTATGTGTTATTTGAATCACTACCACCTGGCACAGTGCCTGGCACATAGAAGGCCCTTAAGTACTTTCTGATTCATTCACTCATGAATTCATTGGTTTTCCTCATCATTAGCTGCTGAAGATTAGCTAGACTAAAAACTAAAAATAAAAATCACTGTGCACTGACCCTTTGGAGACAAGCATTCTACAAACTCTAGATATCACTGCAGCTATAATTGTTCAACAGGGATTCAAAGCATTCATAAAACCGGTTAATGATTTTCATCCCTTTAAGCATCTTTCCATTGAGGGTGAAAGGCAATAAATACATTGTGTTGCCAGCTTCGAGATCCTCTGTCTCTCTGTCCCTTCAGAGGTTTTCATCTTCTTTTCCTTCACTACTGCTTGCAGACCTTTGTCAACACAAACCTGTGAATTCCACGAAGTCTTTTTTCCCCAGGGAAAGAAAACTTCACAGGGCAAATGGAATGAATTCAGTCAATGGCAACCAAGAAATTCACGTACTTTCTTATTTGATATTTTGACTCATTTTACCCAGAGCGGGGTTAGTATAAAAACAAACCACATCAGAGGTAAATAAGTCTCTTTCATTTGCTTCTCTACTTGACAAGTCCCTTGGTGGCCCAGGAATGATAAATAGAAGCTTCACTAGAGAAGAGTAAAGCCTAGGTTAGGATTTAGGATGGAAAATTGAAAGGCTTTTATATAATTAATTAAAGTGCTATATGTGAATACAGAATAAGGATTCACCCAGAGCGCCAAGCTAAGTTATACTTTGGTGAAAAATTCATTCATTCATTCTAAAGAAATCAAATCTCCCTCTCTCAAGCACATAAAACCCAAACAAATCTAAATTAAACTATGGGACTTACTACACCATAAAGACCATTAGAAAGCACAGTGATAGAACATCCTAGTTTTGATCTTACACACAATAGTTTCTCTCTTCATTATATCTTAAATGATTAGATCAGTAAATGCCTAATCAATAAATTTATTTTACAATTAGCCAAAGGATTTTGAGCATATGTGAAATTATGCCTAGTGCAGTATCTTGTACACTTGTTATTATAGTTCAGTCATTTCAACTGTGTCCAACTCTCCATGATGCCATCTGGGGTTTTCTTGGCAAAGGTACTGGAGTGGTTTGCCATTTTCTTCTGCAACTCATTTTACAAATAAGGAAACGGAAGCAAACAGGGTTAAGTGACTTGCCCAGGATCACACAGCTAGTAAGTATCTGAGGCCATATTTGAACTCAGGTCTTTCTGACTCCAGGCCCAGCACTATCCACTCTCTATCCCACTCTTGGATCTTAGCTGCTCCAAGTCTTAGCTACAGGTTACTTTTGGGTATATCTGACAAATCCAATGGCATGTATATGTTCTCAGGGAGATGAAGGGGGTTCCTGTACTAGTTGGACAGTGTGGTATTATGGAAACTGCCAATTCTGGAACACAAAGGCTTGGGTTCAAATTCTGGCACGGCCACTTACTGTAAGTCAAAGTCACTTCATTCTCTCTGAGCACTCAGGTTCTTCATCTTCAAACTGAAGATGAATTGATAAACTGTAATATTCCTCTCAACTCTAAACTGATAACCCTAAGTAGTCCTAGGGTTCCTTCAAACCCTAATGCATCAGTTGTTTCAGAAAGTCTCTTTTCTAAGTGTCATTGGTCAACATCTGGTTCCAATGAAAAACTAAGAAAAAAGCACAATATTGTCTTTACTCCCTTGCAACCTAAACTAAATAGTTCCAAGGTAATAATGGAAAATCCATACCTGTCAATATTGTACGTCGTTTACATTGTTCTTCAACTCCACCCTGTCGCTTACCACTCTGAGTAAAGGGCATTTCAAACATGAAACGGCGGATATTATGAGTTCTTTCAAAATCAGTTTTCCTTTCTTGCAATTCCTTTTCATCAAAGAATGGGATTACATGTGTCACTTGGATATAGGCATACTTTGAATCCAAATCCTTAGGGTTGACCTTTAAATGAAAAAAGAAAAAAGGAAGGTAGAAAATATTGAAGGGAGAATAATTACTTTTCCCTTCCCCTGAAATGACCTTTATAGATTTGTCGTGGAAAGTAAACATTTAGCTTAGTAACAGTGTTTTAAGTCCAAGCATAAAATTCATAGCTTCCCCATTATAACCACCCAATTATTAAAAAGAGGAAATGCTGAGTTGCGACGGTCCTGGTTCTCATTATCATGTAATTTAGTAATTAAACTTCAGAAACTAGCATACTTCTACAAAAGATATATTTAAAAGATATATATGTATATACATACACATACACACATATATTTATGTATATATGTATACATGTATGTGTGTGTGCATAAATAAACACACACACACAAGCTAAACCTAAAAGCTGATAAGAAATTAAAGCTAGGTAATTTTAAGAGAAAATAAAGGATGTCTCATTAAATGTTTCTGAATCATTTTTGATAAGTTTTCATTGTATTTAAGGCACTTTTTACCTTCTGTGCCAAGAGAAAAGAGAACATGTCTGGGTAAGGGGGTGAAGGAAAGGAGAGAGTGGGAGGTTGGGGAAACAGGTAGAAAATGTCAGTAATTGTAACAGTACAAGAACAAAACAGAATAGTGAATGTGAAAAGCACAGGTTTAATGGACTCAAGTAAGTGCTAATGAACAATTCCCCTATTCACAGATACAATGTGGAGATTAAAAGACAATTTTAAAAGACAACTATGAATTGAACTTTTAAGGAAGAAAGATATTACATAAAACCAGGGAATTAAAATAATCCAATTAACTATAAAAACCAAAGCCATTACTTCTTGGTATATTGTATGACTTTTAAAAATTAGATTAGTTTTTAATATGCTCACACATTTTCCCTCTTTAGCAGATGACCTTTCCTCATATCCCACTGAGAAAACAGGAACTGTCCACTATTATACATCCTCAAACTTCTGGACATCACTGCCCATTCTCTACTCCTTTCCTTTAGTCTCTGATGTACTTGCACTTCTTACAATTTACAAACATGGTTAGGTCTCTCCCATTCTTAAAAAACCCTCATTGGATCCTATCACCCCGTCAAGTAATTAACCCATAACTCTCCAGCTTCTCACCACTAAATTTATAGAAAAAAGTTGTTCATCCTTACTTCCTCTACTTATTCTCCTCCACCGCTTGCAACCTACCTTCCAACCCAACTGCCCCATTTGGAAACGGTGCTCTACAAAAGCTACCAGTGACCTCTAAATTACTGGATCTAATCATCCCTTCTCAGTCCTCTTCTTTATTGGCCCTTCTGAAACAGGTGACATTGCTGACCACTCTCAGGATAATTCTTTGTTTGAGTTTTTGTGACACTACTCTGTGTTGGTTCTCCTCCTACCTGCCTGACCATTCCTTCTCAGTCTCCTCTGCTAAATCATTATCCATGCCCTGCCTCACAACTCTTTGTATATCCCCTAGGCACAGTGATGGGTTTCATGTTCCTCTTTTGCTATGCTCTTTGTTGGAGATCTCTTTAGATCCCATGGTTATAATTGTCATAGGTGTTCCTAAAGGATGTATCTCAAGTTTTTGCTGGGCAAGCTGCAAAATTGTTTATGTTATAAGAGAAAAATTATGTACAATTTTGTTCATTATGAAATTTCCTTACTCAGATTTGAAAAAGAAGCATTTATTTGCCTATTTTTGCCATATCAGTCTCATTTCTTTTCCAGTTCATATATATATATTAAACCAACCCACTGACTGACATGTTTAGGTAGGATATGATATTGGAAGGATTGGAAAAGGGTTGCCTGGGTGAAGAGATGAGTTTGGCTTGTTCCTTTAGAGGTATTGTATATTGATTGAAAAAGGAAGTAGAAAAATGGGGGAGAACCTTGAAAAATAAGGTTACAATGGCTTGGGTAATCCGTTAACTGAGACCAATGTAACAGCTTTGATGTTGGGAATATTATTCCTAAGATCTATGGCATTATCTTTTTTTTGGCATTGTTTTTAATAAATTGGCAATGAACTTGTTAGAAAGGAGGGGTTGGAAGAGTAAGAACATATCAAGCATGATTTCAAACTTATCTGTAATAAGCAAGATGATCAACAAAGAAGATGGCTGTCACTGATGACAGTGGGCACACCTAATACACAGAAAGTACTTAGTAAATATCTGTCAAATTGAATAGTAAGATTTTAGTATGAGAAGAATAGGAGTTTTATCTTTTCCCAGGTAAGTTTTAGGCAATACAAGTACATCTAGTTGGAGATGGTGGTTTTAGGGGTTGAACATTCAGGGTAAACATGTGTCTCGAGAAGAGAATAAGAGAAGCTAGTCTCTAGAAACAGAAACTAAAAATATAGACAGAAAATTGGTATTTTCTAAACTACAGGCTAGAGATGTTGAAATCTTACAAGATACCAGTTTCGTTTCAAGCAAAAATGAAACAAAATCAACAGTGCTATCAAAATCATCCACATGTGCTCATACCTTGCCAGAATCTTGGATCATTTTGACATTTTCAGAACCAAATTTGTCTGAGTAAAGCTTTAGTAGTCTCTGAGAGATTTCTGATAAAGGTGTCAGTTTAGGTTCTTTGTAAATGTACTCCTTTCCATCTTCATCTTCAAAGAATCCCTGTGAGGAAAAAGTAAAATTAGGACTGTTTCCAGCACACCAATAGCTCTGGCCTATAATAATCCAGACAGTGGTTTTGGGGTTTTTTTTTTTATGTTTTACAAACAGCACTTTCAACATTTGTTGTTAGAATTCAAAACAAAAATTAACAACTCAAAAAAAATAAAACCTTATACAGATATGCTTCCTGAAGGGAAGAAAAAAAAATGTGAAAAATAGAAAAGTCTGGGTAGAGAAAGGATGCAAAGATGAAGAAAGAACACAAACTTGCAAACATATTTGAGGATTCTGTCATCACGTGCTTGAGTGTAATTAAAGGTCTGGGAATCAGGACTCTTGTTTTCTCATTGAGCTGGAGGGGCTAGGTTCATCCCTGTTTCACATTCCCAAGACTGGCCTTCATCCAAAAATGGTGCCATTGTCTGCTAAAGGCAGTTTCCCAGATGACTTGCAAAAATGGCCCAATCTATTCTATTTACACTAGATTTTATAATATAATTAAAAAAAAAACCTAGGTCTGGAGAAGGGCAAATATGTTATAAAGGAAACATGCCAATTCTATTATATACAACTAATTTCGAAAGTATTTAAGTCTGTGAGTGCAATACCAAGATACAGTCATGTTATCTCCAGTTAGCATCTGTTTTAGATTTGATCTTGGCTGAATTCAACAATATGGCATGAGAAGTGAAACAGGATGAAAATTTTAAAAGCCAAATATCAGTTAATATTTGAAATAATGAGTTAAAAAAATCCCTGTCCTAAGATAAAACAGACAAAACAGAAAGAACGCAGAACACATTCAAAACAAAACAAGGCAGGCTAGACTGAACAAAAATATCCACATCAAACTAGGGGTTGAAATGCAGTCATTTGACTACATCACTTGCTTCATAAGCATTTACTGTAATTACCTCCACATCTGTCTCAGTGTCTGTAAACTGGTATTGCTATAAAGTTGTGAAAGACAACAGAATAAATTGAAGGTTATATACTGCTCATAGGAATGCACACTTCCTAAATACATGGATGACAGTTTATACAATGTAATAATGTTAGATACTTGTAGGTTAAAACTCAAGTTAAATGAAAAAGAACCCTTCCTCGTGGGCTCTCTGAAATATTATAATGGTCAATATACTGTGGAGATATTATATTACAAAAAAGGTGAAGATGCCATGTACACAAGGGCAGCCAGAAATTCTTAATTTTTGGTTTAAAACATGCAATACAGATGTATAGGAGACAGTGATTTGTTTCTGTAAATGGAATCAAATGTTATTGTTTGGAGCTGTGATGACTAGATAGATATACATACAGGTTTGAAAAGGCAACTGGCAAACCACACAGAAGCACCAAAGATGCCGCTCAATAAACATTCTTACGAATGTCTTACGTAGGAAGAACTTACCGCTGCCTTAAGAAAGTAATAAAAGAAAAGACAGGAAGAAAAAAAGCAGAAAGTTTACTGAGGAAGATCAGAATTATACCAAATGTTAAATTTCACAGATCAAAGAAGACTGCATCATAGATAGAATTTATAATGCATGAAACAGAATCAGGTGCAAAATATAATTGTGTAAACATTTTTATAGTACTTAATATCATTTTTAGAAAGGACAGGTTATGCTCACCTGTCCAAAGAATGCCACTCTGAAATAAGTCCCCAGAAGTCTCTTGCCTGTATGCATAACTTCCGTGACTTTGCTGTATGCTCGATGGAGAGTGTCATATAGATGAGCTAGTCTCTAGAAATACAGAAGAGAACAGTTTCTTTATACTTGTAAACTGTGGATTCAAGTTCCCACACAATATTAAATATAAAAAGAAAAAACCTCTCCTTTTAGCCTTCTTCTCCTAAAAAAATTACTTTCAAATTCTTCTTTCAAAAAATACAAATAAACCAAAATGACAATATAAGTTGAGAATAAATGAGTCGCCTCAGTTTTTGAAAGCAAACTAAGGGCTCCTCCCTGCAAAGCTATTTTTAAAAACAGAATTTCATAAAAGAAAATCAAATTAAGCTAAAACACTGACAACTGGATACCTTTCAAACAGAAAACCAATCTCCTTTTCTCATGAGATTTGCAGTAGATTACAAAAGAAATGACCAGACCTCTATTTGCTTACTAATTGGAAAAAAAAATGACCTTATAGGTAAGTAAATAAAATATTAGTTTTATCAAGTCAACTTCTTTGGGAAATTTAAAAGTGACATACTGCATACTAATTTCCAATTCCTGTACAAAGGATTAGCTTGTGTAAGCTAAATATGGCAGCGAGGTGGCACAGAGTGGATAGAGTGCTGGGTCTGAAGTTAAGAAGTTCAAATTTGACCTCACTTACTAGCTGTGTGACCCTGGGCAAGTTACTTAACCCACTTCCTTAATAAATGTAGTAGGTGTTTATATACATGCTGACTATTGCCAGCAGTGAAGACAGAGATGTTAATTTTTGCAAATGGCAGAAGACAAGGAGATAGAGGTAGCAATTAAGTCTCCACTGAAAAGTCTGGGTGCCCTCTTCGTCCCACGTGTTATACAAGGGTGCTGCCAAACCCCTGCTCTAACTCTTCCAGAACCCTGCAGATCTTCATAATGTAGTTTCATTATTTTGTTATGAATTCTCCAAAATCCAAAGCATCCATATTCAAATACAAGAACAAAACCACCTTCCAAAGTAAAATAAATCTATATTTAAATTAGCTGCCATTTTGGATTTTCCATGTTGCTGATCTCCTCCAGTGGTGTGGATAACTGAGAGTTGACTATATGGTCCCCAATTTCAGCAAACTAATTTATTTTCACCTGTTTAAGAGCCTCTTGTATTCAAAACTTTAGACAGCACAACAATCTCATTTCCATTTTTTAATTTTTTTAGAAAAAGAGAGGAAAATCAGAAAGTGACTTTATTTCTGAGAAAACTTCAAAATGATGTAGAAGCAAAACAAGGAAGTTTGTCTGACAAATACTGTGAAAAGTAGAAAACCCAAAATAAGATACCTCAAAATCTCTGCGTTTTTCATAAATGGGAATTATGAGTTTATAGATGTCAGCAATCAGCTCATAGCGTTCGGCCTTCCAGAGTCCATCTGCACACTGTTCTAGCAATTCCATCAACACGTCCTAAATGCAGAAGAAAATATAATGGAAAGATAACGCAATTACCGGTGAAATAATTTATAGAGAAGTATAAGCTGAACAGTGCAGTAGTGTTAACTTAACAGTAACGTTAAGTACATTAAGGTTTCCTTCCTGGTTTAAAGTTAGTCCACCATCTTCTTTCAGGGAACATTTTTTTAAGTACCATCAGGTGCTTTGCAAACAATATAAGGAGTTAAGTAACAAAGCTCAGAATTAGCTATGTGTGATGGCCACGAGTATCGAGGGAAGGAAACAAAACTGTCATTTATATTTTCCACAGAGACTACTAAAATCACCCCTTGCTGGGGGCCAGGTATCCACCACCACTTCCTGGCTTTCTTGGACCATAACCTCTTCCTCCTTCCCTACCAGTAACCTGTACTCTGCTCTTGGGTCCCCTGGCTCTGACAGGTGAGCCTTTACCTTGGAGAGACTCGGGCCTCCATGCCACTTAAGGCCAGCTCCAAAAAATGCCATCCCACCTTCCCTTCCAGCTTCTCTTGATGGGTTGTCTTCCCCATTAGAACAGAAGCCCTCAGAGGGCAGGGACTTGTATCTGTGTCCTCAGTACTTAGCACAATGCTGGCACATGGTGACTGTTTAATAAATGCTCTGTCTATCAACCCATCTACTTTTCCAAAGTTTATAAAGCATTTTATTTATTACAAGATGTTTCCCTTCCTCTACTTCATCTACAATGAATGAATCTGGTAGGATATCTACTACTTTCAAAAAAAGAAAACTGACTTCCTGTTAAGATCAAATGGGACTATAATCATATGGAGAGTTAGTGTAAACAGCCTCAACAGATGTTAAAGATAACTTTATAATGAAGCAGCAATGGGAGAAAACAGCAAGAATGATCCACTAATAATAAGGAAGCAGAAGTCCGTAAGTTAAGAGCCAACACAAGTGCCTAAGGGGCAGGCCTTGAAGTCATGAAGAATTGGGTTTTATGCTTGCCTCCTTTACATACTAGCTGTGTGACCCTGGGCAAGTCATTTAACTTCTCAATGCCTTAAGTAATTCTCTAAGAGGCTACTAGGTGGACAGAGTACTGGATCTGGAGTCAGAGAAGACCTGAGCTCATGTCTAGCCTCAGATACTTCCTAATGGGGACAAAAATAGCACCTTCCTCCCAGGGTTGTTATGAAGATAAAATGAGATATTTGTAAAATGTTTTTCTGACCTTAAAGCACTACATACATATTATTTATCCTTAAGACTTCAAATAATAGATCAGCTGCTTGAAAAATCTGGATTGGTGGACACAGAGAGGGGTTTCCCGAAATTAATAAAACGACAAAGGGTGGCCTCTTTGTAATTTCTATCCACTGCTCCAGGTTCTGTCCTATGAGGCCAAATGAGTGAGAGAAGGAAGAGACTATGTATTTATTAAGTGTCTGCTATAGGCACCGTGCTAAGAGCTCTAAAAATATTATCTCATTTGATCCTGGGAACAAGTATATTCACTCCTATACATGACTGTTCTTCTAATACTTGAACACAGCTATCATGTCCCCTCCCTACCTGCCCCCCTTTTCAAGGCTTTTCTCCAAGCTAAATGTTCTCAATTCCTTCAACCATTCCCCCTTTGTCATGAACTCAAGGTCTTTCAGCATCCTGGCAACTCCCCTGGACCCTCTCCAGCTAAACCATGGTGTCCAGAACTGAACACAATATTCCAGGAGAGAACAAGGGCAGGTTCAGTGGGATTATCACCTCCCTATTCCTAGAAGGTACATTACTCCTAGGGCAGCTAGGTGGCTCAGTGGATAGAGTGCCCGTCCTGGTGTCAGGAAGACCGGAGTTCAAATCTAGACTCAGATACTTACTAGCTGTGTGACCCTGGTCAAGTCCCTTAGCCCTGTTGGCTTCAGTTTCCTCATCTATAAAATGAGTTGGAGAAGGAAATGGCAAAGCACTTCCAGTATCTTTGCCAAGAAAAACCCAAATGGGGTCACGAAGAGTTGGACATGACCAAACACTTCTGATGCAACTCAAGATCAAATTAGCTCCTTTGGGTTCCTCATCCTATCTTTCTGACTGATTGACATCTCATACCCTCCAACCCCACCCTCATATTCTGTAATCCAGTGACACCAACCTCTTTGCTGTTTCTCACATAAGATACTCCATCTCTCAACTCTAGGCATTTTTACTAGCCGTCGTCATGTTTGAAATTGTCTTCTTCTTCATCTCCTTCTTTTGGCTTCCCTGGCTTCCTTCAAAACCCACCTTCTACAAGAAGTCTTTCCCAGTCTCCCACAATTCTAGTGTTTTCCCTTTGTCATCTCCATTTTACACTATATACATATGTATATGTACATATATATACTATCTATGTATGTATGTGTATACATGTATCTGTATATATACACATAATACATATATAATAATACATATTTATACACACACATAACCCTAAGCCCTAACCCTAATAACATATATATGTACGTACTTAACATATAAACCTGGTTCATACATAGTTGCTAACTTGTTGTATCCTCCATTGGACTGTGAGCTGCTTGAAAGCAGGGACTTCTTTCTGCCTTTGTGTCTCCAATGATTAGCACAATACTTCACATACAGTAGGTGCTTAATAAAAGTTTATTGACTGACTGACTTGTATTGAGTTGGTAGTCTACTAGGGACTTCAGATCCTTTCCACACATTTATTATTTATAATAAATTTATAATAAATATTTATTATGTATTATTTATCCATGCTTCAAGCTTTCTTTCCCCATTATATTACTGAGGAGAAACTAGCAGCTACAACCAGTAATAGGCTACTACCATATCTAGTTAAAACAGTAACAGTAGTGTTCTGGGCTTCCAGTCTATACTAGGACATTTTCGCCTTATTTCAACAAGCATTTGTCTTTCATTTTGAGATTTTTAAAAAGAATTATTCCTTTTCACATATTTGTTTTCCAGACTTAACTATTCTTATCTACTGATTTGAAGTAATTGCTTTTCAAGTGGTAGGAAATAAAGTCTGTTGTGCATTTTTAATTTTTTCTAAAAACATCGGTTTTATAAAAAACGCTGCCCAGGGCAAGATAGCCTCTACTTTTGTGACGTCCTTGAGGCATACAAATCATAAAATTGCTATGTGTATGACTGAACTCTGGGATCAATGCTTATAAAAAGAGAACCAGATGTCTAATGGTTTTTATTATAATACCCATTAACTAATGAGGGCAAAGAAGCCATATACACATAGCAACCAAAAACTGTGCAACCAACAGAGTTCCTTAACAAAAAAAAAAAAAAAAAGATGCATTACTGTGCATATTTAGGTTCAGCATATTTTCTTATAGATTCTGTTTTACGAAATCTTTATAAGTGAAGGTTACACCACGACCAGATATGCCTTGTTCCCACCTGACTATGAAAAAGCTGAATGAAGTTCAAAGAAAAGTAGAAGAATGAAACAAGTGATCTACCACTGTTAGTATGGAGATCTCTTCCTATATATTTCTCTCTATATATTTTTACGTATTTATATATTTTTAGCAACATGGTATAGAAGGCTACTGGCCTTGAGAGCCAACAAAGAGAATACAGAGAGCACTGGCCTTGGAATTGGGAAGACTCGGGTTTGAATTCTGATTTCAATACTATAAGACCACGGGCAAGTCACTTGACTACTTTTAACCTCACCTATAAAATGGGTGCCCTAGACACGGATGTTCTCAGAGTTAAATGAGATAGCACACATAAAATGCTTTGCAAACGTTAAAGTGCTATAAAAATGTCAACAATCATTTGCTAAAGCTTTAATAAGTGGCTGACCCTTTCCTTGGTTGGCTGTTAAATGCCTTGGGATAGGGAATTACCTCTTTGAGTAAGTAGGGGCATACAATATATTACAGTCCTCACTTATGAAAAGAATCCCACTGCCCCGTGTATATGCCTCTTCAAGTTGGCTAATGTCATATTTCATTCCAAAGTCAGTGGTATATGACAATCTAAAAGTGACTTCTATAATTATTCATTTACTGACGGCCTGGAATGGCAGTCCTTCAGATGTATTTAAAGCAGGCCTGGATTTGATCACTTATCCAATAAATATTTCATTACTGTCTACCCTGTGCAGAGGGCCCTGTGCTAGGACAAAAAAATGAGACATGATTTCCTACTTCAAGTAATCTGTTGAAGGGAGCAGCTAGGTGGCACAGTGGATAGAGCACTGGCCCTGGATTCAGGAGGAACTGAGTTCAAATGTGGCCTCAGACACATAACACTTACTAGCTGTGTGACCTTGGGCAAGTCACTTAACCCCATTGCCTAGCCCCAAAAAAAAAAAAGTAATCTGTTGAAACTTGGTCTCCCATCTACTCCCCCATCCCCACCATCACAAAAGTACGCTATCATAAGTGGGGGAAAAATAAAATATTTAAAGAGGAAAAAAACAAACAAACAATAGTATGCTACCTGTCCGGGGAGGCCTCTTCCCCTGGGAGATTCTGAAGTTATGAAGGAAAAAGTATGGGACTGGAAATAAGAAGTCCTGGGTTCTGATCTCGACTTTACCACTAATTAGATATGTGGATTATAGGAATAAGAATTAGAAGGGATCTTAGAAATGATCTAATCCAACACCTTCATCTTACAGGTGAAGAAACCATGGCTTGTAGGAGATAGGTGACTTGCCCCATATCACAGGGATAGTAAATAACAGATTTGGAATTCAAACCCAGGTTCTTGGACTCCAAAATCAGTGCTCTTTTCACTAGATAAGTCACTTATGACATTAAGTAAATCATATATTCTCTCTGGCCTTCAGTTACAGCTATAAAATAAAACATTTGTCTGAGTGATTTCTAAGGTCCCTTTCAGAACTAAAATTCCATATCCATGTTGAATTTATCAAGGCTGTCAAGCAGTAAATTATTACATTTCTTTTTTTCTTCTAACAGGTGCAACGACTTCGCCTCCAATCCCAATCATACTCTGCTTGTGCTTCTTATGCA